AGCCTAGAATTCTCTGCAGGATTAATAGATTCCAATAACCTGGCCTGACCTCAACTTCCTCTGGGGAAGAACAAAACAGCAAGCTGCAAGAGGCTGAGTCTTGACTTTCTGAAGTGAAGGTCACTTCACTGCCTTTTGGGAGGTATTTCAGCCACACTGTAACCACTAAAGCAAAAATCAAGATGTTTGAGGGGCTATAGCACTAAAGCAATCACTCCCTGTTCTGTCTCTTCATTGCATCAGTGTGACAGATTTCTTACAGTGAAAATAACTCTGAATTGCTGATAGGCAGGCAGGTGAGTGGACAGACTCAGTGTGACTTGACTCGAACAGCAGATGAATAGGTCAAATTGCTCAGAGGAAAATCTTTCCTTTTAACCTGATTCTGAGTCTTTGATCTTTTATTTTTTATCTCAGATACTAAAATTTAGAAGGATAAGACACTACTGAAAAATGTTTTATACATATCTTATACAAAAGTCATTTAAAATGTGACAAAAGTACAATTATATATTGACAATCACTAATTATCTACTGTACTTAATAACTTTGGATTCCTCAAATTTGTATCTATACAAATCAATAAAATACACTCTTCTGTACCATATGCATCTAGACAATTTAATAGAATGATAGAAAGACATATATGAGAAAATTCATCCATACCAGCAGTTGGTAACAATCACAGTGAGGTACACATATTATAAACCTTTGCAAATATGTTTGTTACATTATATATATGTATGTTGTATTTTTCCCATTGGTACTTATAAACAAGATTGCATGGATTTTTTTAATTGGATATTCCTTGATATACATTGGAGCCAATATATAACCAGCAAGAATGATAAAGATTACCAGGATATGGCTTTTAAACTTTCATCTTCTTAAAATATATACTAAACTGTCTCTTTTTAACCAACACATATTGTAAGCATGTTATTTGTTAAAAGGGCATTCAATAATTACCAGAATTATGGGTACACACACACACACACACACACACACACACACACACACACACACACACACAGAGAGAGAGAGAGAGAGAGAGAGAGAGAGAAAGACAGAGAGACATAGACAGACACACAGACACAGAGAGAAACTGTATTATATACCAATCCTTAAAAGACCTCTCTGGTTCTTATAGCAAGCTATTTCTTAGGTTTTAAAAATAATAGCTATTAGCCTGGTGTATTAGCATATGTCTTGCCATTAATCACAACACTAGGGAGGCAGAGGCTGGTGGATTCCTAGAGTTCAAGGTGAACCTCGTATACAAATTGAGTTGTATGATAGCATACATAGAGAGATGATGTCTCATAATAAAAATAAAACAAAACAAAATCCCAACAAAAATAATAGCTATTTTAAAAATGCCTCTTAAAATAATAGTTTGTAATCAATCTGTCATTTTCCTGCCCAAAGCTAACAGAATCCTGTCTCTTTCTGTTGATATCTGCCAATGAGACTCTGCACGTGTTAGTAAGGAATTTCCCTACTATTCCTCCCACAACCTCAGACAGCGGAGATGAAAATCAAGATTCCATCAACCTAAACATAGATTCTAGGGACACTTTAAGGCATTGTTTTGGATTATCTGTGAGGAGCCAGAATAGCAAGACCCCAAAATAGGCCGGAAGCCAGGACATTGTGAGTCCTGTAGGATTCTAAAGGTACTTGTCAGAGATCTGTATGCTTTGAACTGTTTCAAGATTGATCACTGCTAGTTTTGCATAGGTGTGAAGCATTTGCATCCCCAACACACTGTTTTGGTTAGGTATGAACTAGGTTCTTATCAGCTTTATTGACAGAAGTACTGTCTGCAATAACTGTCCCTTGTTCTTAGGTAGCAGAGTTAATCACAGACCATTGGTTATTGCTGAATCCTAACAATTAGTTCTTCCACCAAGCAAAGAATTAAACCAGAAGAGGAGGTCTTAGCCTGTATCCCATCAGTTACAGTATATCAGTTTACTGCTGATGCTGTGTGTGTCCATGTGTTTGTGAGTCTCCAGGACAGAATAGTCTTACTGATCAAAGAAAATTCTTCACCAAAATTATCACATGTTTTGGGAATAAAATAGAATGAGATTACAATTGTTGCAGGGTACTAAGCATAAGACATTGTCTTGTCACTCAGTGTCATTTGTTGAAATTTAATACCAGGCAGATCTTAATGATTGCTATCTCCCTCTCACAGCCTAAGGATGGAGCCTACAGTACAGTTTTAGGGCCAGGTGAACAAAAATATCCCCATTCCATTATAACTCTTTCAGTGGTCTTGTGCCTTGATGCTTACCACAGTTATGCCTCCTATATCATTATGGACCTTTGTCTGATCCAGTGTTGCAATAGCTTCTGGAAACCGTAGGCCCAGGAGGTGATAGACTGTGTGGCTTCCGTGACTGCAGCTATGACATAACAGTCTGGGCCAGGTCTTTCTATCATCTATCTTCCCTATGTTATCAGGAAACAAATCTTGTACTGCTGACCACAAGCCAGTAACTGACTGAGGAACACAATCCAGCCATACCACAGAGAGTAAGCTGCAGGAACAGACTGCCCTTACTAGGTACTTCAGATTTTCCTAGGGAATCACATTCAGTTGTGTATTGGGGACTTTTTTGACCTCACATTGCCTTTAAGAATGAACTAGAAACAATCATTCGATAGCAAGGTTGTAGAAAACTTGTACTTAAGGAGAGATTCTGTTTCAAAATAGGGATGTGATTCAAATAAAAGATAATAAATGACTGTTTAGAGTTTTGGGAGGCGCAGAAACAAAGAACACTAGATTGTAAAGAGTGGAATTAACACAAAATTTTTCAATGTTGAGATGACTTCCCACCCTACCCAGAAGATCTTTCAGAAAAAAAGGACCACTTCAAAAGTGAAAGATGATGTAGCAGCAGGCAAACGGACAACAACCAGTATAAAATAATTTTGAACATAATTAAAATACTGATTTTTAAAGGAAATTAAGTGAAATGAAAAATACATATAGAAATTTAATAGAGAAACGTCAATGAATGGACACATTATAAAAATTACATGAATTTGTGAACTGAGAAATTTGCTAAATGGAATAAGAGAATGCATAATAGCAAGTTAGATTGATCAGAAAACACTCATCCTTAGACTATCTAAAAACACACAAGGAAAGATAACAGCAACGAATGAATGAAAATTATAACAGCTTTCGGGAGATTAAGACTACCTACCTTATCTAGATTTAAGAATGACCTAAGAATGCCACAGGTACAGAAAACTAATTCAAACAATTCAGAGAACCTTCTCAAATAGATATTTTCATGTTTTCTACATGTTAGCTGTCCAATAGTACATTCTTTTGATTTCTTCTCTCTATTTCTCTCTCAGTTGTAGGAACCTGATGATCCTGACAGTTCTGCCTTAGTTTTTGTTTGTTTGCTTTGTGTTTTAATAATGTGAGGTCTAGAATTAAAATTAAAAAGGAGTAACAAATGAGCTAAATTTACTGAGAATAGGGAATTGGAAAGTTCCTTAGGCTTACCCATGTGAATTTTCATGAGGACAATTTATTGTCAAAATACAGAAAGGCATTTATTGTCAAAATAAAGAAATTGGTAAGTAGTTTTAAAATAATACATACACATCTATGTATTTAGAATAATTATTTACTTGTAAAATGGGACATGCAACATATTTTAAAAATATAAGGTATCCAGGAATAATCATAGGAGTTTCAGAGATCTATTACATACCAAGGGGAAGCAATAAATCAAGGACAAATCTTCAAGCTAAGCATGAATTAATTAGTCATGTGTATAACTGAAGGTTGACTTTCCTCCTACCACAGCTTTTCCGAAAACAGTTTAATCAATATGAAAGACTGGAACATTGACAAATATATACATACATGCATGCATACATACATACATACATACATACATACACACACACACACACACACACACATATATATATATATATATATATTTGATTTATAATCACTTAATGACATAATTCCCCAATACTCTTTCTTATTTATATTGGATAATTCACCCTTTTTTAAACCCAATATTAATGTAAAGTTAGTGAGAATCCATCCATTCAAACATAGTCCTTTTGTTTTTACCAAAATTAATTCAGAAGAGTGTTTGTGGGTGATGTGTAACAAATGAAATATTTATAATTTGATGCAAATCCTGATGTTTCATCATTAGATAAACAACAAATAAATCTGTCATGGTAATCAGCTGGCATATTATAAAATAAAAATCAATGATAATTTCATTTCTTGTGTTAGTCACTACTTTAAATTTATATTTACATACCTTAGCAAACTATGAATGTGGGTTCAAAATTGATATCATAATGAAAATACCAGCAAAATAAACCATGTCATATATCATGCATATACTTAATAAGTATCTCTGAGCCATTTTCTCATGATTTTGAACATAGTGGAAATCTAGAATGCTTTTAGAAAGAACACAGTCATGAGCCCTAAAACGATTTTGTCAGATGTAGATGGCAAATGGCAAATAAGATAATGACAGATCACTTAAGAATACACCACCTACTGACTTTGTAGATGCATTTCCTAGTATCTGTACACTATAAGGAAATTCATCTCATTATAAAAATTGACCAAGGATTCATTTTTCAGCACATGTAACTCATTGATAAAGAATGTAAAACTTCATTTTTAAAAATTTACTTATACATAATGACTATAGTATTGAACAAAACTTTTTAAAATATTATATATTTGAGGGCATTTAGTAGATCATTATCTGTAGAATATTTTTTCAAAACAAGTGTGTACAATAAAAGAATTGATCAGACTGTTTTACTATATTAGATCCTGCTTCAAATATTTCTTTTAGTTTTTGGAACCAGGTTTATCATCATAGAACTACATTTTTAAATCTGTAACAAAATTTTAATATAGTCTTATCAAACTTAAAAATTTCAAAGTTTTAAAATGCTAATTTTTGACTTCTCTTTCTTACCTGCTTGTGAGCATGGTCATATGAATTAATGTGATTGTCAAATTCCTGATGCTTATAATACTGCTTGTCACAAAGTTCACAGTAAAAATTTGCCTTCAGATCCTCCAGAGCTTTTGCAATAGTGTTCTCCTTCTCAGCATAGTCCTGAAACATAAAATTTCAAGGATTCATATAATTAGTTCTCCCTTGAGTATGCTTTTTCTTGAAAGTTGTCAACTTTAGCACAGTAATTAGAGCTAGATACGGGACAAAGAACAAATAAGGAAATATTGGCAAAACAAGTTGTAAAAAATTATGAGTTAAATAACGCAGACTATTCACTGATGAAACCAATATAAAGAAAAAAAATAAAACGCAGCAGTAATACAAACGAGAAAGTAAGTAATATAGAAAGAAATATTAACTGAATATATTCTACTGTGCCAACATTAGAAATGAGATTCCAACAGCAACTCTGTAGACGTCTGCTTCTTAGCTAATGCAAAATTCTCTTTAGTAAATATCTGAATGTGTGTAAAGAGTTTTGTACATACTGCTACATATATACAATGAAGGTATTTTCTTTCTTTTCATATATGTTTACATAAATTTATTGTTCATCTAAACTGCATTAATTTGATCATTGTAATTGATCTTATGATCATTTTTTAATTGCAATTATAGAATCTTAAACCTTTGGATAATAAGATTTTTTTTTCTGCAAATCTTTAAGTTATTCACCTAAAATGAAAAGGAATTAAAGGAAAGATGGGAGCAGGAGGGGAGGAAGGAAGCTTGTCATATTCATGATGCTTCCTGGGAATAAAGCTTGATCAATTGACAACTCTACCCTCCAGAAGGAGAGCAGAATCAGATGTATGAGCTTCTCTCTCTCTCTCTCTCTCTCTCTCTCTCTCTCTCTCTCTCTCTCTTTCTCTCTCTCCCTCTCTCTCTCCCTCCCTCCCTTCATTCCTTTCTTCTATGTGTCTTTTACATCATTAATGTCAATCCCATTTGTTTCCTGTCCCTTCCCATCTGTCTTCCATCCTTACAGCCCTCACCGAATATAACAAAATTTAAGAGAAAAAAGGCTGGATATTGGAAACCTAATTCTCACATTGGAGGCCTGCCACTGAATTGAGAAGGAGTGAAGAGGTGGGGGGAGGGAATAGGAGGAGAAGAGGGAGGGGATGCTGTGGTTGTTATGTAAAAATAAGTGAAAAAAATTAAACAACACTTTAAAAATTAAAACGATAAATAAGGAAAGTAAAAAATGGAAAATTTTTAAAAATCTCATAATGGAAGCTTCAGTGTGACATAGTGAGTTACACCATAAACCCTTTGTCCATATATATTTACTTGCAAGTGTTCATTGCAAAGAGATATTGGTCTGGTTTGAGGCCTCTGGTTTCTGCTATACTATCACTATTGATTCTGAGCCTACCCTAGGGCACTTTCTGGAAAACCTGTTGTTACCTTGTACTGTGGAGTTCCTACAGCTGTGGGTCTGCAGGACCAACTTCTTCATGTGTTCCCAAAGATCATAGATGAGATAGATTTTGAGTGGACCAAGTCATAACTCTGGGTCTGGGTAGATGCATCTATCCCAAGATGAGAGGTGGGAGATAGATCTCACATATTTACAACTTTGAGGCTGGCTCACCCATACATGCACCAACAGGAATAACTCTGCCAGTTTTCTAAACTGCCCCAGGCTTTGAGGGGCAGCGTCAGGGAGGGTAGCTATTCACCACCCATGCCGCTATAAGACAGATGGGGACAATTCTCTCATGCTCACAGTTTCAGAGCTGTCTCAGCCACACCTAAACTAACATGGTTGGCTCCATTATGCTGCCCTGGCTAATTGCATGGCCTGCCCTCCCAAGTATATATGTGTGTGTGTGAGGGGGGAGATCAGGGATGGCCCTTCTATCAGTGCCTGAGATAGATGAGATAGATGAGGGAGCTGGTCTTATTTCTATAAAATGGGAGGTCTATGAGCTTCATATCAAAAACCATGAACTAAAGCTTTTGGTTAAAGCTTTGAGACCTTATATACTGTTGTTGACAGATACAAGTGCATTTTAGGTGTTGAAATAATGACTGATTATATTTTTTTAACTTAACCTTTTAGAACTCCATGCAAAAATATGGCATTTATATCATTTATATAATTTCTACAACTTCTCGCCAGTCGAATTTCCTACTACCACCTAACTTTCTTTCAATTCATGATCTCTTCTTTGTCATCCTTATTCTCACACACATATAAATATATATACACATACAATCTATTGAATCTTTTCACCACTGCTCAACAAAGGACAAAACTTCAGTATTCATCATGGGCTGCATTAATTTTCTATTTTACAAACTCACTTATATATGCCCTTAAAGTTAAAAATAATCACTTGTCATTTCTCATGTGCCACTATAACATGTTCCTAGACATTGAGTTTTAAAGATAAAAGGATGATTGCAGGCATGCCTACAACCTCAGTAATGGTTGGGTAGATAAAAGTAGATACCTTAAGAATTTTCCCAACCAAACTAACCTAATTAATATATCACTAGCTCAAGGTTCTTAGAGAGATCTTGGCTGCCCCCCCCCAAAAAAAAGCTGAAAAATATAGGCTGGTATAATGTTGTCCAGGAGAGCCCAAATAAAAAGATGGCAAATATGTATTGGGGGCACTCAAAAATAACAATAAAGGTAGCGAGTTGTGTCATCTGCTCTGGGATCATAGGAAGCTGTGATCAGATTTATGATCACCATACAAGAGAGCCAGCAAGCTTCTTCTCTCTGCCTATCAGTCCACACTGAGTACCTCAGACAATCCCCAAAGGGCCAGTACCCCAAAAGCTATTGGCTGAATGAATTCCCACAACAGAAAGATGACTGGACAGTTAGGATCACTGATTACTCTTTCAGAGTAATCTTTCAGATTTTAGTGCTCAGAATCCACATAGTGACTCAAAAGTTTCTATAATTGCAATTATAGAGCATGCAATTCCTCTTGGCCTCTCGGGACACCAGCCATGAACATAAATGAAAGCAAAGTACTCATACATAAAAAACCAAAAGGCCACAAATATGAAGGTCATATATGAAGGTAGAGATTTATCAAAAAAAATAATATAAAGTTCACTTTGCTCCTCCACACATGTACACACCAAACACATACACAGTACCACACACAACATATACATATATAAATATGTATATATGCACATATATATGTTATATTAAAATGAAATTTAATAAAAATTTATTGACTAATACTTTCCTTATATCATTGCTTATTGTAATAGTACATTTATGAATATCATATATATTAAAGTTTACATTATTTGTAGGGTATGTCTCATAGTAATTATCCAGATGCTAAAATCTGTGAATGAATAGTCCACTCTCTCAATTTTATGAAAGGTTAATCATTGTTAGATGAAATTACTTTTTAACTTCATAGGACAAGGTAAGAAAAAATCTAGCATCATAGAAAATTTTGTATATTAGTTCATGAATTTAAATGATAATTATCATGTTCCAGTTGGCCTTTCTTCTACTCTTTATTTTCCTATTTTGTTACTTCTGAAGTTTAAAATGTTTAAAAGATTGAAAATTGTAACGAGTACAGTTTTTTCCGCCTGCTGCTTGATCTTGTCCCGCCACCAAGCCAGCCCCAAATAACACACAGAGACTCTGTATTTGATACAATACTGTTGGCCCAGTTACTTGTTTCTTATCGGCTAGCTCTGCCTTTAATTATTAACCCATTTCTGTTGATCTATGTATTTCCACGTGGCCTCCTTACCGGGGAGTGGGGCAGGCATCTGGTCTCCCCAGTCTCTCCATCTTGACTCCTCCTTACTACTTCCTATTTCCTCCTTGTCTCCTAGTCCCTCCTATCTTCCTTTCCTATTGGCCAACAGTGCTTTATTATTAACCAGTATGAGAAACATATATACATAATTGCATCTCCCATCATCTTTTTTGTGGGTCCTTTTTTTTTTTTTTTTTTTTTTTATTTTATTTTATTTTATTCTACCTCCCTGCTGTTGTTGTGGTCTGTTAAGTTCTCTTGGCCTTAGCCAAATCTGGGTGTACCAAAGTTGCTGTGAGACCTAGGGTGACTGTTCAGGTGGCTTGCTGTTTCTGTCCTTGCTGCACCTTTTGGAAGTTGTCCATCCGCATTTCCTGTCTACTCTAGTATTGTTAATTTCCTTCTCAGGTCTTGATGAGGTTGAAGATTAAACTATCACAACTATTATTCTCTCTTCCTAGTTAGATATATTAGGTACTAGACTTACGTTTTCCAGCTTAGGACAACTCTATTGTAAACTCCATTATGCCCTCACCCTAGGACTAGATATGTAGGTCATTTTGTTCTCGATTTTCCTTTTCTTAGAGCACACTTGTTATTCACTGTTTTGTATATAGTTTTGTATTAAGCCTAAATCTTTTCTTTAGACTAAAAGGGGAATTGTAGTGAGGTAGTCCTTCTGTAGCACTGACCACGCCCATTGGGGGGTGGAGCTATGGGCAGAGGTGACCTGAGGAAGGAGGTCGGAGGGGGCCAGGAAGGCGCTCTCTTTCTGGCGTGACTCGGACAGGAGAGGATCGGGTTGAATTTCCTGGTGTTCTTCTGTCTAGGTTGTAAGTTATTTCTCCCTGAATAAACATCTATTCGGCTTATTTGTTTATCCTGATCCTTATTTACCGCAATAGAAAATGACTTTTATTTTTATAGAACTCTTGATGAATTTGCACTGAATAATGAAATTAATGTTTGTAAGTCATGGATTTTAAATGAAACAAAAACTAATACTATTATTTCATGGTTTAAATATGAGTATTGGAGGCAGCATTGCAGTCAGTACATAGGATGAGCTATAATGGAATCATTTCTTTTTATTTTACTTGTTCAAGTAGTTCTCAAATGTTTTTCAACAGAATTTCTTTTTTGTAAAGTCTCTTCATTAGTCATGTACTTCTATTAACAATGATATTTGCTTACATAATCTTGGTTGTTTCTTACATGATGTAGGTTTTATTCTTTATAATAATAATACTACAGTAGAGAATAATGATGTGACAGACTTTGAAGATACCCCATGGTGTGTGGATGGAAGGTGGGATGCAGGGATCCATGGGGGTCATGGAA